TAATCCCAGCTACTTGAGAGGCTGAGGCAGGAGAATCGCTTGAACCCAGGAAGCGGTGGTTGCAGTGAGCAGAGCTTGCATCAGTGCACTCCAGCCTGGGTGAGATTTTTTTTCAAAAAAAAAAAGAATGAGCATAATCTGCAATGATAGGCATCTCGTTCCAGGCCCTATGGGAGGCGCTGGGAAACGAGGCTAATGTTTCAACATAAGGGATGGGAGACGCCTGCAAGGGAGGCCAGGCTGTCATGAAGACTTGGTTCCAGAGCTGAGAAACGCAACTGTTTCATCTGTTATCTTAGTGCAGGGTTTCTCTGCCTTGGCACTGCTGATGTTCGGGGCTGGGTCATTCTTTTTTTTTTTTTGAGACGGAGTCTCGCTCTGTCACCCAGGCTGGAGTGCAGTGGCGCGATCTCTGCTCACAGCAAGCTCCGCCTCCCGGGTTCACGCCATTCTCCCACCTCAGCCTCCGAGTAGCTGGGACTACAGGCGCCCGCCACCGCGCCCGGCTACTTTTTGGTATTTTTAGTAGAGACAGGGTTTCACCATGTTAGCCAGGATGGTCTCGATCTCCTGACCTCGTGATCCACCCGCCTCGGCCTCCCAAAGTGCTGGGATGACAGGCTTGAGCCACCACGCCCGGCCGGGTCATTCTTGGTTGTTTTTGATGGGGAGGGGAGGTGGCTGTCCTGGACACTGCAGGGTGCTGAGCAGCGTCCCTGGCCTCTGCCCTCTCCATGCCATCAGCTCCCCAGTCATGACGACCACAGATATCCCTAGACATCACCCAGTGTCCCTGGGGCAGGGTGGGGGGCAGTACTACCCCCCCCCCCGTCTTGGAGGCAGCAAACCCCAGCATCTCGGTCCCCCGGGTGGAGGAGAGCCCTTTGGTTGGCTGTGCACTCACCAGCCGGCACTGAGCAAGGCTGTGGCTGCATGGAACCTCAGTTTCCCCCTTGGTAAGTGGGAATGGTAATGGCCCCTGCCTCTTATGGTTTCAAGTTAACAGAGAGGGCTGGGCACAGTGGTTCATGCCTATAATCCCAGCACTCTGGGAGGTTGAGGTGGGCGGATCGCCTGAGGTCAGGATTTCGAGACCAACCTGACCAACATGGAGAAACCCCATCCCTACTAAAAATACAAAATTAGCTGGGAGTGGTGGCGCATGCCTGTAATCCCAGGTACTCAGGAGGTTGAGGCAGGAGAATTGCTTGAACCCAGGAGGCAGAGGTTGCGGTGAGCCGAGAACATGCCATTGCACTCCAGCCTGGGCAACAAGAGCGAAACTCTGTCGCAAAAAAAAAGTAATAACAAGTTAACAGAGAGAACTCCTTTCTGCGCGTTTATTTTTATTCATTTATTTATTTTTGAGACGGAGTCTTGCTCTGTCGTCCAGACTGGAGTGTAGCGGCACAATCTCAGGTCACTACAAGCTCCGCCTCCCGGACTCAAGCGATTCTCCTGCCTCAACCTCCTGAGTAGCTGAGCGCGCCACCACGCCCAGCTGATTTTTGTATTTTTAGTAGAGACGGGGTTTCACCATGTTGGCCAGGCTGGTCTCAAATTCCTGATCTCAGGTGGTCCGCCTGCCTCGGTCTCCCAAAGTGCTGGGATTCCAGGCGTGAGCCGCCGCGACCTGCCCTTCTCCACATTTATTAAGTGCCTTCGGGCAACAATAACACAGTCCCAGCAAGGAGGGTGTTCAGAGAAAAAGGTGTGTGTGTCCAGCTCAGCCCCAATCCTGAACCTGGCTCTGAAAAGAATGATGACGACAGCTGCATTTATTAAGCGCCTATTGTGTGCCAGGTTTTGTGCTTTTCCTGAATTATCTTATTCAGAACTGGGGGTGGGTGGGTGTTGCCCAAGGTCACACAGGGAACCCCCGTGCTTCAGAGAGCTTGGACAGCCTCCTTCCTCCTCCCCTGGAGCTGCTATCTGCGGAGTGAGATAGAGGCCGCTTCCGGACCAAAGGGCAGAGGCCCAAGTCCCTCCCAGCCCCTCCTACCTGCTTTAGTCTTTATCCACAAGCACCCGAGGTCACGGGTAGGCGGAGTCCCCCAGCTGGGAGGCTGTGTGGCCTCCCGGTCACTGTCTCCTCTGAGTTTCTTCGTATGTTACCCAGGGGTGTGGGATTTGTCGATTTAAATGAGGTGGGAGAGGGGGGATGAGGGAATGCTACCTCTCCCCAGGCCTGGCTTGTGGGGAGGAGTGACTCTCCCAGGGCGTCCCTCCCTTAAATCCCTGTTCCTGCAGCTTCAGCAACGGGAGGATGACCTTGGACATCAGAACTGTGGAGGGGGGCCCAGCCCCCATGATTAGCAGCAGATGGGACTGGGAGTGGGCGGGGTGGAGGGGTGTATGCCTCGGACACAACAGGCGCAGAGGCAGCCCCTGCCTTCCTGTGCCTCAGTTTCCTCTCTGGTGACACAGTGCCCCAGCCAGCCCCTCCCTGCTGCCTGCCTCCTGGGCGCTCTGTGACCTAAATTCCTGCCCACTGGCCTCAGGGATGTGGAAAGGGAGGGCAGAGGCCAGGGACCTGCTCCCGGGGGCAGGCACAGCCGGGCCATGCCCATGCCATCTGCTGCACTGCACATGCGACCAGGCACCTGGGGACCTCCAGGGTCTGGACACAGATTTCAGACTGTTCTCAGGCTGCCTGGCATGGGAACCCCCAGATGGTGGGAAAATGGAGGGGGGGACTGGACTCCGGGGATCCACCTGCAGAAGGTGCTCAAAAAAGTGGCACTGTCCTCTACCCAGAACACCCCAGGCCCAGATCAAGTCCTTTCAAGTCATTCTGCGGAGCTTCCTGGAAGAGAAGGCAGAGCCAGTGGGGCTGGGAGCAGTGGCTCCCACGTAAATCCCAGAGCTTTGGGAGGCTGAGGCAGGAGGATCGCTTGAGCCCAGGAGTTTGAGACCAGTGTGGGTAACATAGTGAGACCCTGTCTCTTAAAAAAGTTAACTTTAAAAAGTTTTAGGCCAGGCAAGGTGGCTCACACCTGTAATCCCAGCACTTTGAGAGGCTGAGGTGGGCGGATCACCTGAGGCCAGGAGTTCGAGACCAGCCTGGCCAACATGGTGAAACCCCCTCTCTACTAAAAATACAAAAATTAGCCGGGCATGGTGACCTGCATCTGTAATCCCCGCTGCGCAGGAGGCTGAGGCAGGAGAATCGCTTGAACCCAGGAGGCAGAGGTTGCAGTGAGCTGAGATTGCGCCACTGCACTCCAGCCTGTGCGGCAGGGCAAGACTCGATCTCAAAAAAAAAGTTTTAAAGGTGGGGGGAGAGGCATTTAAGGAGCGCTTACTACATGCTCTTGCTGTAGTTTTGGAAAGGCGAAGGGGCGCGGCGTCACCAAGGGTGAAAGGCCCGGAAGAACTGTAATGGAGTCACAATCGGGGTGCCTGGATCTCCCGCTCTGTGGGCCCCAGTCCAACCTCCCCACATCACAGCTGTCAGACAACCCAACTCCGTCTTAACAAATATTTACGCGCGGTGGCACTAAGCCATTGAGCGGGGGAAGGTGAGCTAGGGCAGGAGAGGAGGAGGAAAGGAGAGTCCTGAGCAGCTCCCCGGGACGGTCCGTTCCCTTCCCCGCCTGGAGCCTCCCCTCGGAAAAAAGGGAAGATCTCCACTGTTGCAGCCAGGTTGGGGTCCACGGGGGGAGGGGGATGGCGAAACGTGCAGGACACTGGCATCCTGGCCTCTCCGGGGCCACTGGGCAACTGGAAGAACCGGACTTCGGCACGGCAGGCACCCAGCGCCCAGAAGGAGGCGGCGGGGGACGGCCAGGGATGGAAGCTAGAGAGGGGTGGCTCGGGAGCAGGGTCGCAGGGCGCGGGCAAGGGAGGAGTTGCGGGCGGACCTCGAGGTCCCGGTCACCCCGCGCGCTCCACGAGCAGGACCGGACCCCGTAGCCGGGGAGGGAGTCAGACCTGCGACCCCCGGGCCCATGGCCTCAGTGTGCCCGTCGGCGAAACGGGCTAGCGCCGACGGCTCACCTGCAGCCAGATACCGCTTCTCCAGCCCGGTCTTGGCCTCCAGCGCCCCCAGCACGTCGGTGACCAGGTTCCTTTGCTCCAGGAAGCGCTCCACGCGCTGGCTCAGGCCGTCCATGGCCCCGAAGCGCCCGGGGTTGGCTGCTCGAGCTCGCCCGCGGACCCGCGCACCCACGCCGCTGCACACGCGTCGCTTTCCCGCAGCCTGAGCCGCGCTGCTCCTGCCCGGCGCCGGTGTCCGCCCCCGGCCCCCCGCCCGGACCAATGGGAGGGCAGGGCGGACAAAGGAGGTGGGGCCTGCCCCGTCTCCCCCGCCGCATAGCCCTCCGCCCGCTGCCGCCGCTGCCCAGGCCCCGCCGGGAGAGGGCGGGGCGCGCCGGCCCAGGGCACCGATTGGCCGGGCCAGAGCGAGACGTAGCTGATTGGAAGGGCGGCGTCAGGGGACGGGATTATTGGCTGCGACACTGAGGGGGTGGAGCCAGGGCGAGGAGAGCCGCGGGTGGGGGCGGAGCCGGTGGGTGGGGCTAAAGAAAAATCCGAGCCGATTGGAGAAACGGTACGCGATTCATTGGCGAGAGCAGTGGAGGGCGGGGCTGATCACGAAGGAGGCAGGGCGGAATGGTAGGGGCGGGAACGGGGCGGGGCTCATCGGGGGAGGCGGGATTACTCGAAAGAATGATTCTGATTAGCCCGGATAGGAGGCCGGGCTGATTCTCGAAGGAGGGGTGTGTTGGAAAGTGGGCGAGGCCAAAGAAAGGGTAGGACGCGTTACTGCAATAGTGAACCCGCTTCTCTGGGTTAGAGTCTTGTCGTTGTACAAATGGGAAAACTGAGGCTCCCGAGGGTGTGGGTCTGCGGGAGACGTGCAGGCGTGCGTCCCTGCCCCTCTTCTGTCAGATCTTCGCGCCCGTCTTGGCTGAGTAGCCCCGCAAGGCCCCCCGGGAGTCGAAGCCTTCCGCGTTGCTATGGCGCCGGGGGCTGAGAGGACGCCTGGGTCCACTCGGCGGTTTGGCGGGAGGGAGGGGCTTTGCGCAGGCCCCGCCCCCTGCCCCGCCCCGCCTCCATGCGGCCCGCCCCGATTGCGCTGTGGCTGCTCCGGGTCTTGGCCCTGGCCCTCGTCCGCCCCCGGGCTGTGGGGTGGGCCTCGGTCCGAGCCCCCATCTATGTCAGCAGCTGGGCCGTCCGGGTGTCCCAGGGTAACCGGGAGGTCGAGCGCCTGGCACGCAAATTCGGCTTCGTCAACCTGGGGCCGGTGGGTGGGACCGGGATGGACGGGAAGAGGGGGCTTGGAAGGGACTAGACGACCCTAGACCCCGACAAGTGGGAGGGAGCCCACAAGGTCTCCTAAATATCAGGAGCCTCAGCCCACCCCTGCCTCAGCCAAGTTCAGCTTCTGGGACTCCCAGAGAGCACCTGGTGGGGAAGGACAAGAAAGGGGGCTGTTACCGGTCCTCGGGGGCTCCCCCAGGGGAGCCTGGTCCTATCGGTGCGGCCGCTTCCCCACATCCCCAGATCTTCCCTGATGGGCAGTACTTTCACCTGCGGCACCGGGGCGTGGTCCAGCAGTCCCTGACCCCGCACTGGGGCCACCGCCTGCACCTGAAGAAAGATCCCAAGGTGAGCCTGGCCTGGAGGCCACCCTCTCGGGGTCTCAGCCGCCTCCTGGGGCCACTAGCCATCTTCTGTGGTTCTCGCGGTTGTTATGAACAGCTGTGTGCTTTCTGTGGCTCAGACCCACCTGGACCACAAGTCTGTACAGCAAGAGGAGGGAGGGAGATCCAGATACGGAAATCATGGCACCTGCCAGGGCCTGGTACACAGTGGGCACCTCTTGCGCTTCCCCTCCCTTCTCTGGGTCCCAGGGGCTCTGGTAAGGAGGAACAGATGGAGTGCCTTCCCCACCGTCTAGGTCGTAGGATGGAAGGAGGGGAATTTTACAACACAGGAATGGGTTCCAAAGAGTAGGAGCCTTAAAGTCACCCAGTGGCCCTCAGGACGCAGTGTCTGGGTGCTCAGAAAGGGGCCTGGGTCCGATCGGGCTGGGCCCTGTCTAGAAAATGCCTGAGATGTCAAGCTGAGGGGTTGAGATGGAGCCTCGGAAGCCCTTGGAGGCCAGGAAGTGCCTTGAACAGGACTGGACAGCTACCTGCTTATAGCACCAGGAGGGAAAGCAGTGGCCAGTTCCTGATGTGGTTTGCAAGAGAGAAGCCAGGCCTGGCGTGGTGATTCATGCCTGTAATTCTGGCACTTCAGGATGCCGAGGCAGGCAGATCATTTGAGCTCAGGAGTTTGAGACCAGCCTGACCAATATGGCGAAACCCCGTCTCTACTAAAAATACAAAAATTAACCGGGCATGGTGGTGTGCGCCTGTAGTCCCAGCTACTTGGGAGGCTGAGGTAGGAGAATCGCTTGAACCCGGGAGACAGAGGTTGCAGTGAGCCAAGATTGCACCACTGCACTCCAGCCTGGGCGACAGAGCAAGACTCTGTCTCAAAAAAAAAAAAAAAAAAGGAAGTGATGCAGGAGAGAGAAGGATCTAGAACAGGGATGGGGGAAGGAGTGGAGTGGGGACCTGGGGACCTGCAGTCACCAGGGACAGCGACGACGCGTCTGTGGACCCAAGGACAGGTGGTCCAAAAGCCTCGGTCCCCTCTGACTGCAGACAGAGCCCCAGGTACATGCGGACGCTGGAGAGCAGCCCCCACAAACACGGGGCCCCAGGGCATGGGGCTGCCTCACTCCTTGAACCGCGAGGGGCCCCAGGAGCGAGCAGCAGACAGGCCTGACGCACCTTCCGCTCTGCAGGTGCAGTGGTTCCAGCAGCAGACGCTACGGCGGCGGGTGAAACGCTCTGTGGTGGTGCCCACAGACCCCTGGTTCTCCAAGCAGTGGTACATGGTGAGTGGGCAGCCAGGGTGGGTGGGTGGGGACAGGGCCGCTGGCGCTCTCGACCCCAGGCCCTCACAGGGTCACCACCCTGCCTCCCCCTGCAGAACAGCGAGGCCCAACCAGACCTGAGTGTCCTGCAGGCCTGGGGCCAGGGGCTGTCAGGCCAGGGCATTGTGGTCTCTGTGCTGGACGATGGCATCGAGAAGGACCACCCGGACCTCTGGGCCAACTACGTGAGACCACGGGTGGCTGGGGGCGAGGGCTGCCCCAGGTGCCGAGACCGGCTCCACCCAAGGACGCCTTCCAGCCCCCTCCTATCCCCACCTGTCCCCAGGACCCCCTGGCCAGCTACGACTTTAATGACTACGACCCAGACCCCCAGCCCCGCTACACCCCCAGCGACGAGAACCGGTGAGCAGGGCTCCCACAGCACATGGGGGAAGCCCCAGTACCTGGCAGGGGGATGGAGGCCGTGACGGGAGCCCTTCTTGGCCCTGGCACCAGGCACGGGACCCGCTGTGCTGGGGAGGTGGCCGCGATGGCCGACAATGGCTTCTGTGGTGTGGGGGTCGCTTTCAACGCCCGAATTGGAGGTACCCAGGGTCCCCCAGTGGCACCATTCGGGGACAGAGAGGGAAGGGGGTGATGCTGGTGGAGAGCTGGGCCCGCAGACCAGGGGAGGAGGACTCGGGAGCCCCCCGTCACTGCTGGGTGGTGCTAGGGCCCCAGACTCTGGGGCTCAGGGGGTGCTGAGCCAATATGGATGGTCCACTCCAGGGAGCAGAGACAGAGCCCGGGTGGGGCTGGGGAGTGGCGTGGAGTGGTGTGGGGTGGGCTGGGGAGTGGCGTGGAGTGGTGTTGGGTGGGCTGGGGTGTGGGGAAGGGCAGGGCTGGTGGCAGCGGCCCTCCCGCCCTGGCTCTGCAGGCGTGCGGATGCTGGACGGTACCATCACCGATGTCATCGAGGCCCAGTCGCTGAGCCTGCAGCCACAGCACATCCACATTTACAGCGCCAGCTGGGGCCCCGAGGATGACGGCCGCACGGTGGACGGCCCCGGCATCCTCACCCGCGAGGCCTTCCGGCGTGGCGTGACCAAGGTGAGTGGGAGCCCGAGGAGGGCCAGGGTGGCAGGCCAGGCCGACGCCCCCTCCCCGCCCCTCCTGGTTTCCCAGGGCCGCGGCGGGCTGGGCACGCTCTTCATCTGGGCCTCGGGCAACGGCGGCCTGCACTACGACGACTGCAACTGCGACGGCTACACCAACAGCATCCACACGCTCTCCGTGGGCAGCACTACCCAGCAGGGCCGCGTGCCCTGGTACAGCGAAGCCTGCGCCTCCACCCTCACCACCACCTACAGCAGCGGCGTGGCCACCGACCCCCAGATCGTGAGTGCAGCTGCCCCAACAGGGTCCCCTCCCCAGGCCCTGCCATCCCAGCCCGGCCTCCTCACCTCCCTCCTGCCCCACTGCTGTGACTTAGTACCCTCCCAAAGCTGCTTTGAAAACGCAAATCCAGGCCGGGCACAGTGGCTCACGCCTGTAATCCCAGCACTTTGGGAGGCCGAGGCGGGGGCGATCCACGCAGGCAGAAGATCGCAGACCGATCCTGGCTAACACGGGTGAAACCCGTCTCTACTAAAAATACAAAAAATTAGCCAGGCATGGGTGGCGGGGGGCGCTGTAGTCCCAGCTACTCGGAGGCTGAGGCAGGAAATGGCATGAACCCGGAAGGTGGAGCTTGCCGTGGACTGAGATGGGGCCGCTGCACTCCAGCCTGGGCGACAGAGCGAGTTTCCGTCTCATAAATAAATAAAAAATTAAATAAACCCAAAAATCCAGGCTGAGGCACATGGCGCGCCTTAATCCCCATCACTTCTGGCACGCCAAGTGGGGGGTGATCACCTAGCGGTCAGGAGTTCAGGACCCAGCCTAGCAACATGCAAAGAAACCTCATCTCTACTAAAAATACAAAAAAAAAAAAAAAATCTATCCCACACATCGCGTGGCACTGCCTGAAATACCCAGCTACTCAGAAAACTGGAGGGGCAGGAAACTGTTGAACCACGACTAACAAGAGACAAGACTGGGACACCACAGGCATCTATTAATAGCACAAGGCCACACATCCAACACAAAACAAAAACAAATCCAGACGGCGGTCAACATCTCACTTTGGGGTGAGGCCAAACTGGGAAACATCAATTAGCCAGGTCTCTTTCGCTTTATTTGTTTTTGAGATGCAGTCTCACTCTGTTGCCCAGGCTGGAGTGCAGGGGCGTGATCTCGGCTCACTGCAACCTCTACCTCCCGGGTTCAAGCAATTCTCATGCCTCAGCCTCTTGAGTAGCTGGGACTACAGACATGTGCCACCATGCCCGGCTGGTTTCTTTTTGTATTATTAGTAGAGAAGGGGTTTCACCATGTTGGCCAGGCTGGTCTCAAACTCCTGACCTCAAGTGATCCGCCCACCTCAGCCTCCCAAAGTGCTGGGATTACAGACGTGAACCACCGTGATCAGCGAGCCCAGGGGTTTGAGACCAGCCTGGGCACCATAGTGAGACCCCATCTCTACAAAAAAATTAAAAAGTTAGGCTGGGATTGATAGCACACATCTGTGGTCCTAGCTACTCGGGAGGCTGTGGTGGGAGGATTGCTCGAGCCCAGGAGGTCAAGGCTGCAGTGAGCTATGATCACACCACTGCACTCCACCTGGACAGCAGAGCAAGACCTTGTCTTAAGATAGTAAATACATAGACGAAACCCAAATCCCACCCCACCAGTCCAATCACAGCTCTCCTGTGGCCCATCAGCGTTCTTGGATGAAACCAGCTTCTGGGCCCCAGCCCCCTGTCTCAGCCCCTTGCAAGAAGGTTCCCCCTCATTTCTCCAGGCCCCTCCTGCCTCAAATTCTCCTTGGGGAGGCCCCTGTGCCCGATCACTCGATCACTGCCCCTCTTTTTTTTTTTTTTTTTTTTTTGAGACGGAGTCTCGCTCTGTCGCCAAGGCTGGAGTGCTGTGGCCGGATCTCAGCTCACTGCAAGCTCCGCCTCCCGGGTTCACGCCATTCTCCTGCCTCAGCCTCCCCAGTAGCTGGGACTACAGGCGCCCGCCACCTCGCCCGCCTAGTTTTTTGTATTTTTTAGTAGAGACGGGGTTTCACCGTGTCAGCCAGGATGGTCTCGATCTCCTGACCTCGTGATCCGCCCGTCTCGGCCTCCCAAAGTGCTGGGATTACAGGCTTGAGCCACCGCGCCCGGCCTCCCTTGGTACTTTTTGAAGAAGGGCTGTATTCTCACTGTGCACGGTCCCCCGAGTCCTGCCCCCCCTCTGCCCTCAGGTCACCACGGACCTGCATCACCAGTGCACGGACCAGCACACGGGCACCTCGGCCTCAGCCCCACTGGCGGCCGGCATGATAGCGCTAGCGCTGGAGGCCAAGTAGGTGATTGCGGGGCCCCGCCCACCGCCCTCGCCCCAGGCGCAGCCCCCGGCTCACCCGCCCCCGCCCCCTGCAGCCCGTTCCTGACGTGGAGAGATATGCAGCATCTGGTGGTCCGTGCGTCCAAGCCGGCGCACCTGCAGGCCGAGGACTGGAGGACCAACGGCGTAGGGCGCCAAGGTGCGGCGGGGCCGGGCGGGGGCGGGGGCGGAGACCCCGGGCCCACAGGGGGAATGACAGCCGCCCTTCCGTGCAGTGAGCCATCACTACGGCTACGGGCTGCTGGACGCCGGGCTGCTGGTGGACACCGCCCGCACCTGGCTGCCCACCCAGCCGCAGAGGAAGTGTGCCGTCCGGGTCCAGAACCGCCCCACGTGAGACCCCTGCGTGCCCCTCCGCTATCACCGCTGGGGGTGTGGGGGACAGGCCTGAGGCCTCAGTTTACCTATCTGTAAAACGAGGGCTGGACCCCGTGACCTCTGAGCCCCGACCTCGCCTGCTGGCCGCCCCCCCCACCCCCCAGCAGGCCGCAGGAGGGTCCTCACCCCTCGACCCCCCCAGCCCCATCCTGCCGCTGATCTACATCAGGAAAAACGTGTCGGCCTGCGCCGGCCGCCACAACTCCATCCGCTCGCTGGAGCACGTGCAGGCGCAGCTGACGTTGTCCTACAGCCGGCGCGGAGACCTGGAGATCTCACTCACCAGCCCCATGGGCACGCGCTCCACACTCGTGGCCATACGGTGAGCGGCCCGCAGAGGGGAGGGGCGGTCTCACGCCCTGTGGGTAAACGCTGCCATCTACCGGGAGTGTCCTCACGGCTAGGGGCCAGGCCCACAGGAGTCACACGGCAGCCTAGTGGATGGGACCCCCGAGTCACGCCCCCACGCACACCCGGAGGACGCCCGGCCACCAGCACGTGCGATCAGACACTTGGTGGGGCTCTGCGGGCTTCACAAAGCCATCCCTCTTAACACCCCCACCCCCACCCCCACCCGCCGTTCTGTCGCAGACCCTTGGATGTCAGCACCGAAGGCTACAACAACTGGGTCTTCATGTCCACCCACTTCTGGGATGAGAACCCACAAGGCGTGTGGACCCTGGGCCTGGAGAACAAGGGCTACTATTTCAACACGGGTGAGGACGGGGCGGGGCTGTGGTGGGCGGGGCAGGACCGTGGTGGGCGGGGCTTGGCTCTCCAACCTCCCCCCAGGGGCTCCGGAGTTAGCCTTGGTGACCCCACTGCACAAGGGGTTCCCAGTAGCCTTCTCCAAGAGAACACGCACACAGTAGGCATGCAGTCACCGGGGAGATGGTGTGCAGTGACAGGCACACAGTAGGTGTGCAGTGACAGATGCACAGTAGGTGTGTCGTCACCCGGGAGATTTCAGTGTCCAGTGACAGGTGCACAGTAGGCGTGCAATTCCCTGAGACATGTGGACCAGTCTGGGGCCCCGGGTGGGAGCTGCAGGAGAGGGAGCCCGGGGACTACCAGGACCAGGCCGCCAAGAGCCTCCTCCTCCTCCTGTGCCCACCCGCGACCCCTGCCCAGGGATGTTGTACCGCTACACGCTGCTGCTCTATGGGACAGCCGAGGACATGACAGCGCGGCCTACAGGCCCCCAGGTGACCAGCAGCGCGTGTGTGCAGCGGGACACTGAGGGGCTGTGCCAGGGTGAGTGCCGGTGCTGCAGGGCCCACTGCTGGGAGGTGGCGGTGGCCACTGTGGGCAGCGTGCATGTGGCCCCGGGCGGGCGGGTGGCAGGCAACAGGCCGCGGGTGGTGAGCTCACGGGTCTTTGCATCCGTGTCCCTGAGCAGTATGTGACGGCCCCGCCTACATCCTGGGACGGCTCTGCCTGGCCTACTGCCCCCCGCGGTTCTTCAACCACACAAGGCTGGTGACTGCCAGGCCTGGGCACACGACGGCGCTCGCACTGAGGGTCTGCTCCAGCTGCCACTCCTCCTGCTACACCTGCCGTGGCGGCTCCCTGAAGGACTGCACCTCCTGTCCCCCATCCTCTACACTGAACCAGCAGCAGGGCTCCTGCGTGGGACCCACCACCCCTGACAGCAGCCCCCGGCTTAGAGCTGCCACCTGCCCCCAGCACCGCTGCCCAGCCTCAGCCATGGTGCTGGGCCTCCTGGCCATGACCCTCCAAGGCCCTGTTCTCTGCAGCGTGTCCATGGACCTCCCACCATAGACCTGGCTCTCCCGTGCCAGGGCCATGCCCACCAAACCCCAGGTCCGGCTGCCAGCTGGAACCCGAAGTTGTCAGCTGAGAAAGTGACCGTGCCCCCGCCTGGGTCCCTGACAGGCACTGTTGCCCTGCTGCCTCCCCAGGCTGGCCCAGAGGAGCCAGCACCAGCCCCCGATGCCCGGCCTGCCAGGCGTGGGCCCCGTGGAACCCTGCAGCCTGGGGGGAGGAGAGAGAGAGAAGTCTCCTATGCATTTTGGGTTTGGGTGGGAGTGGGCTGGGGGGAGAGGCTGGAGCACCCCAGAAGCCAGGGGAAAGTGGGGGGAGAGAAACGTGACACTGTCCGTCTCGGGCACCGCGTCCAACCTCAGAGTTTGCAAATAAAGGTTGCTAGAAGGTGTTCAGTCTGCGGCCTCCTCTGAAGCAGGGTGGGCCCGAGGCCCCAGGGCTGAGGCGGTTTCTGCTTGGGGGCCCCGGACATCAGTCTATGGCGAATGCACTCGGCTATGGAGAAGGAGTTCGCCCAGGCCCAGGGACCCCAGGCAGTGGGGGCAGCAGGGAGCGGCCGGGTGTCGGCAGTAATGTCTAACCCCAGAAAATGGCTCACCACGGCCAAGAATCCTCTCCCGCCATGGTTCCTTTTTTTTGTTGTTGTTGTTTGTTTGTTTTGAGACAGGGTCTCTGTACATTGACCAGGCTAGAGTACAGTGACGCGATTGTAGCTCACTGCAGCCTTGAACCCTGGCCTCAAGCAATCTTCCCTCCTTGGCCTCCCAAAGTTCTGGGATTACAGGCATTAACCACCGCGCCTGGCCCTTTCCTCCCTCCTTCCCTCCCTTCCTTCCTTCTTTCCTTCCTTCCTTCTCTTTCCTTCCTTCCTTCCTTCCTTTCCTTCTTTCCTTTCTTCCTTTCCTTTCTTTCCCTTTCTCTTTTTCTTTCTTTCCTTTCTTCCTTTTATTTTCTTTCTTTTTCTTTCTTTCTCTCTCCTTCCTTCCATTCTTCCTTCCTTGTCTTTCCTTTCTTTCCTTTTTCTTTTTCTTTTCTCCCTTCCTTCCTTCCTTCTCCTTCCTTCTTTCCTTCCTTTTGTGTATTTTAGTAGAGACAAGGGATTCGACGTTATTTGCGCCAGGCCTGGTGTCCGAAACTCCTGAGCTCAGGCAATCGCGCTGCGCACGGCTACGCAAATCGTGACTGCGGAATTCAGGCGTGAAGCCACCGCGACCCGCCTAATCGCCTGCTTGAAACTGTAAGTCCTCAGCCTGAAGCGGCGGCTACGCCTGGAATCCCCAGCACTTTGGTGAGGCTGAGGCCGGGCAGATCACTGGGGGGCCACGTTTTGAGACCCAGCCTGGCCCAACATGGTGAAAACTCGTCTCCTAACTAATAAATACAAAAAATTAGGCTGGGTGCGGCGGCTCATGGCCTGGTACATCCCAGCAATGTTTGGAGCTGAGGCAGGAGTATCATCGGAGTGAGGAGACTCGCAACCCATCCTGGCTAAACACAGTGGAAACTCCGTCTCTACTAATAATACAAAAAAAAAAAAAAAAAAACAGAAACATTAAGCCCGGGTGTCGGTGGTGGTCGCCCTGTAGTCCCAGCTACCTCCGTGGGCTTGAGCAGAGAATGGTGTGAACCGGAAAAGCAGACTTGCAGCCCAAGGATTCCGGGCCACTGCACTCCAGCATGGGTGACAGAGCAAGACTCCCATCTCAAAAAATAAAAACAATAAGAAAAAAAATAAAATAACAAGTGTAAGCTCCAATGGTTTCAGAGGTTTATAAGTTTTTTTTGTTTTTTGACACGAGTTCTTGCCTCTGTTTGCCCACTGCCAGCGCCTGGCAGGGAAGTGCAGTGGGTGGTGATGTCAAGACTCATGCACCTCCGCCT